GGTTCAATCTCCAGTGGCGGGGAGGGGGAAAACATGGCAGGGAAGAATACTATACTATAGTAATAAGGGACTGAGTCCATAATATATGATTGAGTGGGGAGAAATAAGGGGATTACAAAGTAGTGTGTTAGTACAATGCCATTTTTTTGTGAGAAAAAGGGACTAGTCAGTATTCACATGTGTGTACATATATACATAAGAAAAAAATGTTTTAATTTTATCTTTGTTTTTCTGATTTTTCAAGTTTTCTAGTTCCTCTTGGTTTTCCTCATCAGTGATTAATCATTTGTTTAAATTTATTATACCCTGGGTTTTATTCACACCAGGCACATTCTACAACTGAGCTGTGTCCCATTCTGATTAATCACATTATTGCTGGCTCTTCAGTGAGTCTCTGCTTAGATGTGTCATTGGTGATATCCAGAGCCTAGGCAAAGGCACATAATGGCCCCTGTGGCTGTCCCCACATATCTTTCATGCAAGTCTGCTCAGAGCCTTACTCTTAGGTATGGCTCTGACCTTAGCGCTGACTTGTCCTCTTGGCCAGTTCCTCATGAACTCCGCTAGGAGCACCAGTGTGGGGAAGTGGATCTATTGCCTACTTGCTGTTTATTCTTACTCCATAGCTCCATCCTGTCCCCTTATGAGAGACAGCTAAACTTGGATGGCTGTGCCCAGCGCCTGCAGGACGGGACTGGCAAGAGGAAGAGGAATACCAGCTCTGAGTAATGCCCCCCACTGTGGCCACAAGCTGGGAGTGTTGGTGGCTGGGACTTTGAAGAATGCATGGGCTTGGGCAGTTCTCACATAGACCCAGGGAGACAGCAGAAGACCTGTCTTCCTCAGCTCACATGGGTGTGTGCACCTTGGCAGTCAGGAGCTAATGTGTTGCTTTTTCTCCCATGTCCTTCAGGTGTGTTAATAAAAAAGTCACGGCCCTGGAGACTTCCCTGCCATCCACGAGCCTGGCAGCCTCCAGCCCACCTGACTGCAACCAAAATAGCCAATGCCCAGTTGAGAAACCCCAGGAGCCAAGCCCTGCAAAAGGCCCAGGGGTCACCTTTCCATTTCTGGGTTCCCTGGAGCCCTGCCCTAGTCTGACCAGTCAGAGTGTGGGGTATGACCGAGAAAGTGGCAAGGTAGAGAATGGAATCAAGGGAGCTCGTAAGCCTCGCTGGAACTTTGAGCAGATCTCCTTCCCCAACATGGCTTTGGATGGTCGCTACACCTTCCTATCTGCCCCAGCCCCAGAGTTGCTTCCAGCCAACGTCATTGGGCGGGAGATAGATGCTGAATCCTGGTGTCAGAAGCTGAACCAGCGGAAGGAGAAGCTTTCCCAATGGGACCAGGAACAAGCAGAGGCCCGGCAGTTCCAGGACATAAACATAGACCCTGAGGTGCAATCTTGCTCCAGCTGGCGGGAATACAAGGAGCTGCTGCAGAGGCGAGACATGCAGAAGAGTCAGAGCTACCCCCGACACCTGTGGAGTCAGCCCATCACCCCCTTGCTGAGTCCAGGACAGGTGGACTCCCCAGGTACCTCTTCATCCTGCCATATCTCTGCAGGCCACTGGTAGCTGAAAATCATGACTTTGAAAGGGTCATGGATTGACCAGTACTGGATGAAGCTTAATATGTGGGAGGAGACAGCTGTAGAATGGAACCTGTGAGGACAGAACCTATGAGGACAGTCAGTTCTGTAGACTTGAATAGCAGTGCCCACAGGGGAAGGTTTAGCCATTGTGAGTCAGTCCAGGGAGGTGAGAGGTGTGAAACTGCACATGCATCCTTAAAACTATAAACAAGATAATATCAGTGACTTTGACACTTACTAGCTGTGGTCTCCTCCCCTCCAAACCTGTTAGTTTGAACATGGAAGTGTTATCTTGGCTAAATTAAAGGATAAATACTGTCCTTGGTTTTAAGCACAGGGAACTAGCAGGGTAAAAATTGCCTAAGCTAAATGTAGTAACAAATTCAGAACTACTAAAAATCATCATAGGGACATGGTATGTTGTAGGTGACTAGATTCGGGTTACCAAATCAGTTAGAATTGAATTTCAAGTAATAATAACTAATTTTTGCCACTGGGCCTGGCAATTACACTGTTAATTATAGCTACTCAGGCTGAGGCAGGAGGATTGCAAGTTCCAACTCAGCCTGCGCAACTTAGCAAGATCCTGTTTCAAAATAAAAAGGGCCGGGAGTGTAGCTCAGTGGCAGAGTGCCCCTAGGTTCAAACCCCAGTATAGCAAAAACAAAAACAAATGTAATTTTTCAGTATGTTGCAAATATTACACAGGACATACTATACTAAAGAAATTTTGGTAAATCTGACAACCCTAAACTAGATAGCAGATTCAGCAATGTGAAGGGAGTGGATATAAAGTTGACTCCCCTTCCATCTCTCCAACACCTTGTTTTCACTGCTCTGTAGCCCTGGTCCTTCAGCATATCTCCGTGCTGCAGACAACACACCTAGCTGATGGAGGTGCCGGGTAAGTTTCCAAGTGGTGCCTGTCTTCGTAATTATATCAGCTGCTAGGTGAAGTGACAGCTGGGATTTGGCTCCTAGGGTTGGTTGTGAGCTAGAGTATGCCTTTTGGGACCCTTTCCCACATGCTTTAGTTCCTAGCAACAGCTAATGTTCATTTGTGTCAAGGGGAGTGGGAAGAATGACAGGTGGGTTTATCTCAAAGGTTTGAAGCCCCCCACCTCCCTTTTTTTTTTTTGGGTGGTGCTGAGGATTAAACCCAGGGCTTTGTGCATGTGAGGCAAACACTCTACCAACTGAGCTATAACCCCAGCCCTGAAGCTCCTCTTTTTTAAGTGGCACCTTACAGCTTCAGTTCCCCTGGACAAGGCTGCTTCCTGGAATTGGTGATGGGAAAAGGGTGTGGTGGAAAGGAAATGTGGGAAAAAGAGTCTTTGTCCTAAGGTTTCTCACTCTATTCTCCAGGCTGCTGAAGAAGTCCGGAGGCTTGGAGATCAGTTTTGATGTTTACCAGGCTGACGCTGTGGCCTCATTCCGAAAGAATAACCCTGGCAAACCCTATGTCCGGATGTGCATTAGTGGGTATGATATGAGCAAGCACCACCCCTGGGCTACTGCCAGTTGTCCTGTGAACCATATGGACTTTCTCTCCCCTATTCTCTCCTGGGCCAATCCCTGAGAAGAACCTGAGGTCCAACGAAGTTGAGCGATATGTATGAGGCAACACAGCCAGTTAGTGCCATAGGAGCTCAAGCTTCTTAACCCTTGGTTCCTCGTTGTTAGCATTCTTGGGTAGTCTCTCTTATGCCACTTTAGTCATGAGCTCACCCAGCAGAAGGGATGTGGATTGGGCTGAGTGGTGAGAACTTGGCCCTTCCTAACTCTCTTACCCTACTAGAGTACTGGGTGTCTCTTGGAGAACTTATCAGAGCCATGTCATTTGGAGACAGGAGAGCTCAAGGGTTCCCAACTGTCTTCCCTGAGAGCCTCAGAGGAGCTGGTATCCTGGGGCTTAGGGGTGGGGTAAGGCCTAGTCTCAGTCCAACCCTTATACCTACAGATTTGATGAGCCTGTCCCAGACCTCTGCAGCCTCAAGCAATTGTCCTACCAGAGTGGGGATGTCCCACTAATCTTTGCCCTGGTGGATCATGGTGACATCTCCTTCTACAGCTTCAGGGACTTCACACTGCCTGGGGATCTGGAGCACTGACTACAGCTCTGAAGGTGTTGGAGCCTGCTCTGGGAGACCTGAACTCTTTGCTCTCAGGGACTATCTCAGCTGCCTCCTGTACTTAAAGACTCTGACCTGTAGGGGCCAGTGTGTGCCTTGGCCCTGGGTGTCTGATACTTGCAGGAAAGTAAAACCCTGCCCCATATCATTACCCCCTTGCTTGGGCTCTGCAGCTTTCAAGTCTCAGGCCTGAGAGTACTGCCTTCAGTGACCCCCTTGGAACTCAGGACTAGATTTCAGAGGCCCAGGAGGTGGGACAGAAGAGAGGACTCCGTGCCTTTAACAAAAGGGTGCCTGTTTTGCCGCCATAGAGCCAAAGCCATTAAAAATAGATCTTTTTTTCTGCTGTGGCTGGATATACTGGACCACCTCCACCCTCTATTTTACCCACTTACGGCAGGACAGCGACTTCAAAACTTTCCACGAGCTTGCACTGTCAGAAGGCTTGGGAAGTTGCAGGTCTCCTGTAAGGTACTCCAAGTAGGGAGACTAGTGCTCTATTGTTTCTTCCCTTAACGTAGCCCAGTCGGGGGTATAAAGGTGGCCCGGAGGCGCCATGTCCGTGTGGCCTGAATCCGGGTCACTCAGTGACCACAAGCAGCTGTGCGTGGTTAGCACCCCAGGCCCCAGCCCCCTTCCATACCCGCCCCTCATCATTCTAACCCCCTCCCTTGCTTGAACTAAAAACTGATCTTTGTGACTGTCCCTCCACAGTAATAGAAGAGGGGAGCTAGCCCCAGGAGAAGGCGCTTGCTGCCACGCCCTCATCTCTTTACAACCCTACACGTGGGACCTGAAACCAAGTTCTGGGTTCGCCAGTCACTGTCCCCGCCCAGCGCTCTGGAGGACTGGCGGGCTGTTCCCCTTCCTTGACAGATCCGGGCGAGTAGAGGGAGAGGGATGGCTTCCTCCAGGAGTTGAGCCTGGGAGGCGGCCGGAGACTGCCCGGGGGTTCCGGGAACTATTTCCTCCTCTTGGAGGCGGCGGGACACTGGGCGCGGCCTGTAGTCCTTCGGTCAGGTGAGAGCAGGTGAGAGCAGGGGCGGGCCGACAGCGCCTCGTGCATATTCACGCAGGCTGCGACCCCGCCCCTGCGCTCCTGGGGCTGCGGATTGGCCGGAGCGTGGTCCCCGCCCTCGAGGGCGCCGGGCTGCACCCGCGCCCCGTCGGCGCAGGGCGGCGGGGGCGGGGCCGGCCGGGGGCGGGCCGCTGGGGCCCGGCTCTCAGGGTTCCGCGGGCCCTGCCGGCTCGCCCTTTATGTAAATAGCGGCAGCTCCGCCCCCGGCTCTCCGCGCCGGAGGTGAGCAGGAAGGAGACGGCCGCCCAGCTAACAGCCCGTGGGCCCGCGCGGCAGAACCAGCGGAGCCGGCGGCGGGGGCCAAGGGACGCCGAGGCCTCGGGCAGGCGCCGTCCTGGGGTTCCAGGTGAGGTGCGGGCTGGGACCCACCTAGCCCGGCCCGCCCCGCCCCTTTGCGGCGCCTCGGGGCGGGGAGGAGGGGGAAGGCCGAGACCCCTGGGCTTCTTGGGCTTACGGGCGGTAGGGCTGCGCCTAGGTCCGCCGCCTCGTCCTTGTCCTTGTCGTGTAGCTCCACTGGGAGAAAGACACCTGTAGAAAGTGCCGCTGGGAACTCTGTGCCTGACCCGCCCCCGATTACCAAACTTGGTATTTGGGTTTGCACAATAGTGTTGGCTTTCGGGAGCGTGGAAACAGGTGCCCGGCCGGACTAGGTGTGGGAACACCACGGGCAGAGACCGAGTCCCCGAGCCCCACGTGCAAGGCCTGGCTGGGGAGGCCCGCGACGCGGGTCTCCTGTGACCCTGTCTCCGCGAGCGCGTTACCTTGCGGCTTAGCCCCTACCCTGCCATCTGGGCTCTCTCCCTGTCGGCCCTTTGTGCCTCCTAATCCCCGGACGCAGGAAGCCCGCGGGAGGGACTTCGATCTCCGGCCCTTTTTCTACCCTAGGCGGCTTTGGACACCTTTAGACAACGGTGTTGAAACTCTGTCTGAGGGGTGGGGGAGTTGCGCTGTTAGATTTGATGAAGAGTGGAAAATTCTTGCCCCCAAAAAGTGTGTCTTGGTTTGCTCCTACTGGACGGTTGGTGGAGACACTGGGCCTTGATTGTGGGAAAACCTGACTGTAACCAGGGCACCCGCCGTGTGGCTCTTGAAGGCGTTCACCTGAGACAGGTGAACTTTGGGGGAGGAGGCTGGGACTTAGACTCAGTACTCTTTCCCTTGGGGTTCATATGTTATCGCCTGTTGCCTTCACCTGGGCACTGTGGACACTGCAAGAGTATGTAACTCAGGATTCTGCAGAAGAAACTCTAAGCAGGGAGGGCATGGGTGTGTCAGAGTGAAAAACGCTGGTGAGAAGAAGAGGATTGCTGCAGAAGAGTGCTGTGCTGGCACACCCAGGAGAAGCCAAGATCAGAACTGGCTTTTGAGGAAGATTGGGTCTGTAAGCTGGGATTTCAGGAGGCATGAGAAGGCAGCTTTTTTATTTTATGGACCTCGAACTGAATGTAGTTTCCTAAGTCATCACAGAGCTTGCTGGAGGCAATCAGGACTCAAGCCCAGCTTCTGGCTTTGACCAAATTGTGGTTCTCTTCTCTGAAGTTAGCCTGGAACAGTCCCTTTGAGGGCCCTTGAACAGTGTTTCTAGGATCTGGGGTTATTCTGCATCTGAAAGGGAACAGAATTTCTCCTTGGGTGGCAGATTAGTGTAATTTTAATTATATTAAAGTAACTGTGAGTTTTTAATAGACCACAATATTAAAAGAAGAAAGGGTTGATAGTCCGGGATAACAAAACAGAAAAGGGAATCAGGGCTCACAGTGAAACAAATGAAAGAATTTAGAAAGGGTAAAGTAATGCAGAAAAAGATTCTTCTTTCCTGATGGTCTTTGGCAGTCGATGTTCATTAAGATTTTTAGTGTCAAACACAATCATGCTTAGTTGAGTTCTTGTTGGGTGACCGTAGCTCAGTCACTTAACCATGTCAAGCCTTGTTTTTGCAGATGTTGCTGACAAGGTGAATATATGAGCATGTGTGGCCTGCTGCATAGTAGGCACCCAAGGACTAGGACCTCATTGCTTCCCCAGGAAGTATAAAAAGTGTCAGTCACTCACAGGCCTTTGAGTAGACACCTGGACCTCTTGGAAGTACCTAATGGATTGAGGGAATTTGTTTCTCTGTCCAGAAATCAGACGAGGGACCATGATTTTGTGGTCTTTTAAAGTCTCTGGAGGTCAGAACTGTTCCTCTGAGATACTTTTCAGGGATCGGGCAGGGGCCTCTCCTCACCTGACATTCTGTTCCCTTTGCTCCTCTTATTTCCCTTGCTCCTTAGGTGAGCCAGGAGTGAGGGTTGATGGAGGGTCTTTCCTGATTGCAAAATCTAATCTGTTTTGCTCCCGCAGGCCTGGAGGGCTCCCGCTGTGCACTCTCTATATCCTATTGGGGGTGGAGGGAGGCGGGGCAGCACATTCCTGTGCTGCTCTGTGGTCCTTAAGGAGATTGGAAATTCCATAGTGCTCCCTTCCAACCTCACTTAGGGAGGAGGTGTCCTCTCCTGCCAGGCTTTCTGGCCCCCTAGACTCTCCTTCTGGGAGGGAAAGTGATACATGGAACATGAAAGCTTGAACCCTCTGCCATCAGCCTGTGACCTCCTACTATCCACTGGGACACCTGAACATCCCTAACAAGAGCCTCCAGGAGCAGCATGGGAGACTGAGCTGTATGGTCTTTCCAGATGAATCAGGAGCAGCCAGTGAGACACCAGAGTTGGGGGCCAGGGTGGAGGCCCACAAGGCCAGGGTGGCTTCTCTGGCTGGCTATTTGGAGCACACTGGTGGCCTGGACTTGGGAATTCTCAGTACTCAGCTCTGAGAGGCCCTCTTATCTCACTTGGGCAGTAATGCTGTTGGGGCTCTTCCTGGCTGAGGCATGCCAGATAGGCTTGGCAACTTTGTTTTCCTCTGCCCAGGTGCAGTGTGCAGGGAGAAACAGGGTACAGAGTAGAAGATGGTGTTCCCCGGGGAGGGGGGGACCCTGCTTACTGTACCCAGCTCTGGATCCCAGGGAGCTCCCCACTTGCTGTGCCCTGTGGCCACCTCCTGGGGTGGCTTTTACTCCTTGCCCTGCCTCAGAGGAAACTGATCCTTTGAAGAGTCACCCCACTCCTTCCCCTTCCCAGGAACTATGATGAATTCTTGAGTAGGAGAGGCTTCTTTGGGTGTGGGGACAGGGAACCTGCAAGGTACCTGACTCTACCCTTCAGGAATTCAGCAGAGACTAGAGCCATCTCTTGAAGCACCTGACTCAGTGTTCCCAGGGTTTGACAAAAGGGACATCAGGCACAGATCTATTTGGCTCTAGTAAATAGTGCTAATATTTAATAATAATCTGGGATTATCCTTTCAAAGGAGCTTGGTGTCTTGGAGTATTGGTCCAAGGCAGTAACCACCAGGATATCTCTAGCAGGGTACCTTGATGACATCCACATGGCCCTGACCTTGACACAGGTCTTGAGAACATGGTAAGGGTAGTTTTCTGAGGACCTATAGGTCCCACCTCAGTGTTCTTTGGAGTCGATGACTGGAGAAGACCTGGTTGATTCTGTGCTGTCCAGCTGTTCATTCATTGATTTAGCAGGTATTTAGCGGTGCTTGTTGAGGGCCCAACATTGTTCTAGGTACTGGATGAAATCCTTAAAATAAAGGTCTCTGTCATCATGGAACTTTCTAGAGTGGGGCACATGTGTAACAGAAAACAAAGATAAGTAATAAATAACACAATAATTGGTGATATAAGTTGTGGGTTAAAAGAGAGCAGGGGCTGGGATTCCCCATGGTGGTGGGTTGCAGCTTTAAAAGGTAGTCAGCCTGAATCTCAGCAGGAAGGGGACATTTGAGCAAAGACTTGGAGATGAGAGAGTTCTTGAAATAAAATAATTTGAATGCCTTCCATGAGTTGCTGGGGATTAAACTGTGGCATAGTCCCTCCATTCTGCAGCTGACATCTCCTGGCAGTTCCTTGTAACAGCTGTTCAAGTTTCAGGGCAGGTAGGAGGCCCTAGGATGGGGCTGGACTGTATGGGCTGAACAGTCCACCCACCCCAACCCCCAGCAAGTTGTCTGCTTCTCAGATGGTTTTGCTTCTTCTAGCATTTGGCCACATCTAACTGGCCTATAGTCTGGTGTAGGATGACAGAGGGGGCTGAAGCTGCCACATGGGAATGTGTGCATTCCCACCTCCTGCCCCATTCATGGGCCCAGGAGGGATAATGGAGGAAAGGCTTCAGGAGGAACCTGGCCCAGTGGGAGAACTCTCTCAGGGTTGTGGGATGGATAGGATTGTAGCTCCATAGGGTGGACAGAGATGGGGGTGGAGGCTGACGCCATCCAGCCTACTTGTGTCCCAGGAGAGCTGCTGGAAATGAATAGAGGATTCTGGACTCAGATCAGACTTAAAGCTGCAACTTGGATTCACTGGGGACTTGATGCCACCTTGAATCAATTATTTCATAAATAATTGGAAGAATTAAATGAGATGCTTGAATCCCAGCAGCTTGGGAGGCTGAGGCAGGAGGATTTAAAGTTCAAGGCCAGCCTCAGCAACTTATCGAGGCTGTAAGACATTTAATGAAACCCTGTCTCAAAATCAAAAAAGCAAAAATTGCTGGAGATGTAGCTCAGTGGTAAAGCACCCCTGGATTCAATCCCCAGTACAAAAAAAAAAAATAAGATGATGCATGGGAATCATCTAAAGTAGTATCTGGTCATAGTGCTCAGTGATTTTTATTTCGTAAGACATTAGTGAGCAGTTATCTGGTCCCCTCACCTCAGCCTGTGTTCTCCATGTAGGTGTGATTCAGCCCAGGTTTCCTTGCTGCTGGGAGATTGGGTTTTTCAAGGGAACATGGACCCTGGCAAAGCGGCCATGGGCATCTGAGTAGGCAGGGACAGAAACTGAGCAGTCAGCAGCTGCCCCAGTGGCTTACAGCCCTGCCCTGCCACTCCCGTCAATAGGAGGTGCAGGGGTGTTCTCACATCCGCCAAACAGGAGGCCAAAGCCACACACAGACCTCACACAGGATGTCGGGGAAGCAAGGGCAGCTTCTTGATTAGTAACAGGCTGTGGGGAACCTGAGCAAAGGGGAGAAGGGGGAGGGTTTGTAATCCTATGTTGTGCATTCCTAGAGAGCAGGAGGGTGATGCTGGGTGTGGCTCCGAGTCTGCTCTCCCATGGGCCAACCCAGCAGTCTTGAATTCCACCTTGGTTGTGGACTTCCTTGGGAGATCAGCTGAAATTCCTGGGCTGTCAAGGGTCCTTCTGGGGTGCTGGATCGTCCCACACCTCTAGAACAGTTCAGCCTGACAACACCTTGGGATCATAGGGGCAGATTAGCCCAGGTACCCTAA